CGTTCCTCCAATTTTAATCAGTAACACAAAATGAGAAATAAAATGAAGCAAAATTATATATTGATCGGTGAAAGTGGGCTCTTGCATCTTTTTTTCTTCTGTACTCATGAGGAAGATATCTCTATTTTTTATTTTCTCTTTGTTTTAGTGAGTGTTTTCAGTCTTTAAGCATCAGTGTTTTAAACGGTATTCTATGTATGCAAACCCTTTAGAACTATTATAAATTAAACACATTATCTTTTGCTGATAAATGAGCCTTTTACTGAGAAATACATATTGGGATTTTATAACCGTTAATGAATAATGAGATAAACATTAAGGGACTGAAGCTCTATTTGCACACCATATGTGCAAGCGCACTGTTTTTCTAAGCTTTTTACTAAAAATGTGTAGTTTAAAAAAATGTTCATTTGAAAGGACCCCATAAAGAGCTGCATTCTGGTTTTATGAAGATGATTTTATGACCATACATCAGTACAAGCAGGATAAAACAAATTTTGGCATTATTGTTTGGCAAGGTTATTGGTGGGTTTCTGTTTTATAGTGTTGACTGTTCTGTATTTCAGCTATGGACAAACCTCACTGCAAGATGAAATTAAAGACAACACCACAGTATTTACCAGAATATTGGACCGTCTGCTGGATGGCTACGATAACCGCTTGAGACCAGGACTGGGAGGTGTGTTATAGTCTCATTCTTTAAGTTATGTGCTATAGAAAAAAATTGTTTTAAACACTGTTGTTTTTCTATGGCATACTTGTCATGCAGTTTATGAACACATAAAATAATGCTGTTACGCGATACCATTTCTTCAGACATACTATGCCATTCTTGATGTTGCACATACTCACTTTATGCATGTGGCCAAAAGAAGAAAAGTTAATGTTGACAATTCAAGAAAAACACTTCATGCCCATTCAAAATTTGTGTGTGTCAAGAATAAAATAAAACAAAAAATGACCTGACACCTGACAAAGGAGAGCAAGTTTATGAATTGGGTCTAAATGACACATATAAACAAGCAAACACCCTACTGACTATTTTCATAAGAAGATTCGCTTCTGAAAGTGAAAACATCCATCAGCCTTAGCTATATAACAGTCTCTGAGAAGTTTATAGGATTTTTTTTTTTTTTTCTGCTAAGGTATATCCGGATTTGTTCCAAAATTATTTTGTCTTCACAGCATGGTAAAGATGTCTGCTGAATGCATAAAAAGTGTAGAAAATACATAGCATTTGTTATTTTTACAAAGCCCTGTTGCCAAGGCCGGGCTGCTGAGCGTGCCGATGCTCCGGCGCTGAGCAGAGCGTTCCAGCTGCCCTTCCAGCGCTCTGAACGCCTGGCGTTATTTCTGCTTCCCCACAATGCCTATTTTTGGTCTTTCTGACTCTCCAGGCGACACAAACCAAGGGAAATTCTTCCCTCGACCCATGTAGAGTTCAACCTGTTCTTATATAACAGCACTCAGGAGAACTCTGTTGTGTGAAGAACAGTGGATTGCATTAAGAGTTCTTACACCACTTCCTGGGGGTGGGAAAGAAAGAAAATAAAAAGTAAGCTTAGTTATCCCGTGCTTGGAGGCTATCATCTTGCAACGATTCTTCAATCGTGAGCTGACTTCTTCCATGTTTCACTGCACTGCCTTAACTGAATGGCTGTTGCTACCATCCTGCTTATAAAGCGGTCCTTACAAAACTTTCTTGGTTTATACATTTGGGTGTGGACTTTCAAAATAATTTTCAGCAAGGTAAGAATCACTTTTTGGTTTAATCTACTAGCATTTTTACCTGCTTTCTTATAAACCCTTGGATTAGCCTACAATAAATGCTCCTTAATCTTTGATTAATACAGCTGTAGAATTCAGCCAGCTACTACATCATAGTAAATAAACATAGCACAGAAGGCAATAAATAAATGAAACTCTGTGAATGGTATAAAGTCTGGTATGCGTCTACAAGAAAAATGCAAGCACATGATGATTTCCTATATGATTTTTGTAGCGCTCATGATTTGTTTTGCAGTTACTAGAGAGCAAACCAAAGGCGATGCAGGAGAAAGCATGACTTATTCTCTGCAGATCTATTTGAAAAAGCTCCTAAGCGCTTCATATGAAATGTGAGAGGGACCTTTTTGCAGAAGCTTTTGTGAGAGGGGGTGTGTGTGTGTTTAGACTTGCAGGCTATACTGGAAATCTCATGAGCGTATCCCCCAACCCAGTTTAAATCTATCCTTAATACAGACTGTCTGATTTAAATGCTTCTATAGTAAGAAACAACTCTTCACAAACCTTAACAGCCATTTGCACTGCTAGAAGTTTAAAGCAAAAAAGGGGGTAGCAGATTAATGCATAGGAAAGGGAAAACAGGACTGGAATAGTTTCGTTAGGCAAGGGTTGGATAAGAAAGAAGTGTCTTTGCATGTGCTTACTTCCTTTCTTGAGCTGAATGTTGCATGTTCCTCCCTGGAGCCAAGGATCTAGAATAATGCAATTTCTGTATCATGCAGTACAATATAGTCTCATGCCTTATCAGAGCAAATTTAATTTATCTGTTATATTTCTGAGCTCAGAATACTAGAATTAAACATACCAGGATTTCTAAAAAATACCCCTTCTGATGAAATTGCAGGCAACAAAAGTATAATAAGTAGTAGTTTTACTGTTTTGACTACTGGATAATGTGTTGTTCAAAAGATATAAATGGTAGTTTTAAAAAACTAAGGACAGACACCTGGCTGGTATTTTCAAATCTGATGCCAAGTTATAGTAATGCTTTTGCTAGATAATTCTGAAATGCTTCTTTACGATGCTTTTTTGTTGAGGTATCTAAATATAACCTCATAATCTCAACATGAGGCAATTTTGACATATCTGACCTTTTCACACTTTGTATAAATGGAGAACTATATTCTGAAATGATCTGAACACAGAAACGACCATTAATACATCTCATGTCGCATGAGTTTTGGTGATGGAGGCTCAATAACCTTCAGCTGTTCTGTTTGCTTGGTCTGTTGCTGAGAGCTTTAATTCTGTTTGCAAGAATGGTGGTTTTGTTTGGCTTCCAACAATGCCAGTGATGGTTTCTTATTAAATATTTCAACCAGAAGAAGGTTTTCATCTACTTTAAAAAGAAATTTTAAAAAGCTACCAGTAAAACAGGTAAAACAGTGTTTTATGATACATAGAATTAGGTCTAAAATTGATTCACTCCGTATAAGTTATGATGCAGCTATGATGAGGGAAATTAGGCAAAATATGTTGATAAATTTTACACTATGTCAAGCACAGTATCAATCTGTGTACCCCTGATTATAACACGCTATTCTGATTATCCAAAATTGTCTCTTCATTTGGTGCCCTCTGAGCAACAATAGCTGGTGTAGAATAACACACACTACCATTGTTTTCTCCTGCAGAAGGAGTTATATGGCAGAAAACTCTACTTCTCCCTGTAAAATCTCTCCTTATAAACTGTAGCTTTCTAAATATATACATGTACAAAGCGCACAATTCTGTACCTGAACAGAAACAATCAAAGAAAAACTCTCTCAGATGCAGAAAGGTCATTAGTCGGGTTGCCTGTTTCATCTCCCTTGTATGTATGCATATGCACAGAGAACTCAGCAAAAAAAAGATGTGGTATAAATATAATGTAACAAATGGTAAAAGAGGTTTGATCTTCAATAATTTTTCTCGCTTGTAGAAGCAATTTCCTCCCTCTTGAGATAAACCCCATGATATTTCCCTATTCTGATTTTGCAAACTTCTCATTAGTGGGGTGAATGGTTTCAGTTAGTGGTGGAGATCATCTCTGGCAGATCAGGTGCCATGAAGGCAGCTTGCTCTCATGGTGAACTCTCATTATAAAGACACATTATCAGAACTATACTATATATCCATTGGCAAGGTAGATTGTAAAGAGGGAGCACTGAAATAATGAAAAATTTAGAGGTGCAGAATTTTGACCCCTACTTCCAGAAGGCACAGAATCAGAGCCAGATTGATATTAAGTCCTCCCTTTTCTTTTTCAGATGTTCTTTTGAGGGATCACTTCAAAGGGAGTCTGGAAAAGCACATACGCTCCATACTGTAAATGAAAATTATTGTTCCTCAAATAACGCTGCAAGGCCATACAAGATACGAATTGAGCTCAGAGAATTCTGCCATTAAACAAAGATAAAATTATTTTTTATTATAAAGAATATAAAAAAGTGGAGTGGGTGACCCAGGTAGAAAAACAGCAATTATTGAATAAGTTCATTATTTAGAAGAATAGCATTGTGCCAAAAAACTTTTTTAAAAAGAGAATCAGCACCATGTTACGCGTTGACACATTTGCACCTATTATCAATAATTATTGATATAAATTATATTATTTAGCTGTTTGCCTCCTTCATACGTGGGCACAGTCACTTAGTCAGACATCTCTAGGAAATAAGCATCTGTTGTATGCATCCATAAACACGGACAAACAACTCAGTTTACACTTATTTGTGCCTGGAAAATAGAACTTTCAAAATGAATGTAAAAACATTCTGAATCACTCCAGAGGATACCTATTAACACTAAGAGAGGATAATCATTTAGAAAAAAGCAAGAAGGAGGAATTACAGAGAATAACATATTGAAGATGAAAAAGAGGAAATCATGTTAGGCATTAAGAGAAAAAATAAAGAGTGAAGTCATTAAGGTAATAGGATAATTTTCTGTGGGAACTATCTGGATTCTTGAACTAGGGGTGTTCAAAATAGACTAAATAATAAAGACATCATGCTCTTTTCGAATACGATCCTGAATAACATAGAGGATCAGATAGCAGCGAAGATAGTACATAGCAGAAGTGAAGTGAGGCTTTGGTGACTTCTTGTAGTTGGTCATTGTTTCTGAGAAGGAAGTTTAAATGCACTGAAAAGCAATAAGAAATAACAGAAAAAAGAAGTTTCCTGGCTAAATGAATGTGCTGTTGACTTTAGTCCTGGCTTTCCTGTGCCCCGGTTGCAAAGGGACCCTGCTCATGGGCAGGGACTCTGCACCTTGTGTTGAGGGTGATGAAGGTGCAATCAGCTCCAGATTTTAAACCTGTCACTTTTGTACTGGCAAATATGCCCTCTCTACAAGGAAAGGATATCAGGTGTTCTGTGACCTTTAAGGTTAGAATAACTGCCAGTGTGATTTATGTCTTTGAGAGGGATTTTTAGTGGAAAGACAAAAGAATGTTAATACAGAACAACAGAGAAGAAGAGTGGGTTTCATCAGGATGATGAGAGTGAAGCTTCCTAAATGAAAGCTCATTTTATTGTTGAGTCAAATAAACATTAGATCATCCCAAACAGATTATTGCCATTACTTCAGTATTGAACAGAATGCTGCTTGTATGTGAAAGCTATTTGTTGATCTCTCCTGCATGATGTACATCAAAATTGAGTGTGACTGGCCCTAAATGGAATATGGGCCTTTGAAAGCAATTCCTTACTTCCACAGAATGCTGAAGCTTAAAGTGATGGAGAGTAAGCTCAACAGTATTTGTTAATTACATTTACAAATTAATTTTTATGAGAATATTATCTATAAATATATGATAAGGTGGTTGATGTCCCAAAGGAAATTTTTGGACTTGAACTCAGATCTGCAGTAACTTAAAATTTAGGTAAAATATGGTGTTGGTCTATGTGAGTAATATAAATTAAATTAAACCTAAATGACTGTACTGTAAATGAAGAGAGAGTCCTATATGGGACCCTTTCTTATAATCTTGTAATAGAATGAGGACTGATTGCTCTGGCTGAGCCCTGTATATATATATATATATATATATATATGTAGTTTTAATAGTAACAGTGTACACTATACAGGCATCTTAACTTTTCATTCAAAACCATAAGAAAACCTTTTTCTGTTTTAATAACTATAGGACACGTACACAAAATACTGAGCAGGAACCAAAAAATATGGAATTAGTTTAGCCCACCCCATCAAAATGAATAATTCAAAATTTTGTGTTCAAATACTAACAGGTCAGAAAGGGAATATAAAATGAATAGTTTCCTATAGATAAATAGGCTTATTTCCTGCTGTTTAAAAAATCTGTGTTCTTTTTTTCTTTTGTTATCAATTTGTAATCCAATCACTATTCTAGAAATAATGAGTCCCCTGGGAGTTTAAATCGAAGTGATTTTTATTTTTACTTATTAACTTTGAGAGTTTACATTAGCTTGACATCATTAGCAAAACACAGTAATTGTAAACAGTGAAATTACAGTAATTCATGTTGACTGATGCTTTTCCATATATAGGTAGACCATACCCATTTTCTACTGGTGCAAACTGCTTTCCTGCCTGTGGGTTTGTTCTAGGTGTTAGTCTCAAAGAAAAAAAAAACTGTTTGAGCTTTCCCCTGATATCTAGCACTAAAGCGTAAAGAGCAAATAAGATATTTCACATATTTCTGTGGCTTTGCTGATCCATAACCATCTAACATTATGATTGCTGTAAAATTAATCTCCTTACACACAATGAAAGTCACTAGACATTTCCTTTTTTTTTTTTAATCTTACTATTTTTACAGACACTCCTACATTAACTGTTTTTGAATCAGGGGGTAAATGTTACAGTCCAAGGATATGGTTAACATGTCTTTACAACTGATTGATAATCCTTAGATGTGAGAGCAGCTCCCGGCCATAGTTTGCTTTGCACAGTAGGTTAAGATTTTACTACAATTCTTTGGGATAGTGATGGATTTAATACAATCAAGATCTCAGGTTTCTGAAAAAAAAAAAAAAGGGAAGAAAACTGGAAAAAAAAAAGAGCATTTCAGACAATTTAAACCTTCCCATGGTGATCAAGTTGCAAACTGAAAATGGTTAACCTTGATTCTAAATATACTTCCCAAGTGTATGAGTAAACCTCTGTCCTGTACAGGAGTGACTCACAACCTTTGGAGCTCCTAACAAAGCATGGCTGAATCATCTAATTAGTAAAACAGTAAACAAAAAATTCAAAACTTCCACACAGCTTTGGAGGGGCTGATGTTTCTTTGATGTGCTCATACACATTTTTTTTTCCAAATACATCCTGTATTTGAAAATGAGATACATATCAAGGATTAAAAAGATAATTTGAAAGGCATCAGTCATTTGTCCACTCCCTGGAAAATCTTCCGTCTTGCTGCTGAAGCCTTTGGTTTCCATTTTGCTTTCTCCAAGAGATTTCCTAAAGCCTTAACCTCTCTATTATGACTGTAAGTCTCCAAAAGCTCTAGAATGATTTTTAGGATTCAGCATATCACCACATGGTACGCTCGAAAGAGTACAATCTGTGTTTGCGTAAGGCAAGTCAGTTCACTCCATTATTTTAAATAGAGCCACAGTATTTTGCTTCAGCTGGGACTCTGCACTGATATCATTAAAGGATGAATATATCACTTCTGAATTGTTTCCAACATCTGCTGTTTTGGGACTATCTCCTGATGATGCTGGTGGGAATGCCTCGATGGAAAGGAGATGGACAGTAAAAATCAGAGAGCTTTAAATGAGACATTTGAGTTTCAGTTTGCAATATGCAGAATTCTAATAGATTACATGATGACATTAGTTTTTCACTCTTCTTAAGATGCCGAAGTTGCTGGAACTTAACCTCTGCAGCAATGTTTTACTGGACCTTGTGAAAATTCCATCTTCTTTTGCTGCTAGCTGCTTCATCTCAGATCCCAGCCTTCACCTCTTGAACTTTTGTTAAGAGTAGTGGCTGAAAGAGAGAGCATTTCTTCCAAATCAATATGTCTTGGATGACCACACGCCTCTTCCTGTAAAAGGAGGTTGGGTTCTCACTGTAAACTTCAAGATTAAGTCCACAGCCACTTAGATGTCAAAGGGAGCACTTAAATATATTTAAGGTAATTAAAAAGCTTGTAAATGATGATAAGGTCACACATTCATTTCCCTGGTTAGCCAACAAGGAAATTTCATCTGCCGGGTGCTTCTGTCAGCAGTCACAGTAGCCTGCAAACCTCTCGGACACCACTATGATGATCAGGGGCCTGGAACATCTGCCCTACGAGGAGAGGCTGAGGGAGCTGGGCCTGTTCAGCCTGGAGAAGAGAAGGCTGAGAGGGGATCTAATCAGTGTGTATATAAGTACCTCAAGGAAGGGAGTGCAGAGGATATTGGAAAAAAATTATGTGTACGCTTTAGAACACTCATTCCCATTGTAACTTTTGGGACATTATAGAAATGTGTATGGTCCTTAGTTAGCTCCACTCTGCACTGCTTGGACTGATGCCTCCAGACGATGTTTCTCCTTGTAGCTATATTATAAACAAAGTTGATAAATGTCATCCTTGGTGAATATTTTGTGGTATTTGGTGGCCCACAAAATACCAGTGTATTCAGAAGTGGTTGGTAACACATTTGCAGAGGGGGAAGGAGGGAGGTTGAGGATGCAGGTCTCCCGGGGGGACTTTCACCAGGGCTTCTGCAGAAGGCAGATGCTTGGCACCCGCACAGGGTCTCAGGCTGAATGCTCGTGTGTGACCACTGAAATCACAAGGTGCTTGTGAAATGGCCAAGGGCATCGTGCCCTGCAGCTACAGCACAGCCTGGAAATCATGGGGAAGTGAGATATGGCACATGCCTATAACCTATTTTATGTACACATTATAGATTTCTGAATTATTATTTATGCTAATCTGTCACCGGGGCCTGTAAAACAAATCTTTTAGTTTAAAGGAAACCTAATATCAGTGCCAATATCAATTTAAAGATATTGCAGGATTACAAAATATTAAGTTTATACAGATGTCAAAAAGACATAGTAGAAATGAGAGTAGTTTTTATTTATTGGGAATAGTTTTATTTCCTTTTTGTTTATTACAGTTATAAGTAATGCAGTCATCTCTAACTCATGCCAATAAAATATCTTTATGTTTTCATATATCATAATGTATTCTCTCTTTCTTCTACATTCCCCTGCCTCACTACGAAATACATAATGTATAGCCAGGGGTTAATTATTAGAGACCTTCCTTCAGTTTGCCCAGAAGCATCAAATACTCAATACGACATTTGAGTATGTAAAATATTCAGCACTGTTTATAATGTCAGGCAAGAAGCTTCATTAGTCAAGGAGTGAAAAGATTTACACAGCAGCAGAGCTGTGGCCTCTATACTTCAGCATCACAAGCCACATCTCAAAAAGTTATATAGAAACACTAATAAAAAAAAGTGTTGCTGACAATATTGACTGTGAAATTACATCTAGAAGCAATAAATTATCATGACTGTATTGTAGACCAATTTTAGAATGGCTAATCAAAGCCAATGAATTTTCTATTTATTGTGAGAATTGGTAGTGGTTAGATCTAATGAAGACTGTTGATAGACACTCACTGTCCTAATTTCCTGCTTCATCAGAGCGTGTAACTGAAGTGAAGACTGACATCTTCGTCACCAGTTTTGGGCCTGTTTCAGACCATGATATGGTAAGTGATGGCCTACATTTCTACAGCATTCATTTTCTCTTGTCTTTTTAATTTGGAGGATAAGTGATCTCTGCAATAACTTATTTACTCCTTTTAAGGCTGTTTTTCTAAAAGCCTTGATCCCAAAATGCTGTCAGCTTTTATGTGCAGCCATTATTGTTAGCTGTGACTGCAGTTAAGTGCCCTTAAATTAGCAGCCTCGGTGACTTTAATAATGCTTTTTAACATAGCTTATATTTGCTACATAATATATTAGGAAATGCATAAGAGTTTGGATCAGTACTCTTCAGAGAATGATTGCTCAGGTCCTAGCTGGCACATCACTGAGCCAATTTGCTGAGAAAGATCATCATCTTAAAATGCAATTAACACTTATGCCTATCGTGTGACATCCATGCGGTCTAACCTGTATTTTCACATTAAAAGCTACTGATCAATGGGAAGTGAGTTTCCTAGATCTTGGCTGCTGAAAGAGACGTGAAGATTAATGAGAGAATTAGTGTCACTTCTTTATGGCATGAATATGAAAATCAAATTGCTAGATAACCACAGGGGATTCAGCAGTTCAGAAAACTGAATAAAGCTGTTGTGAGACCTGGTCTTAAGAGATACTAAAAGTTGTGTAAAAATATGGATAAGGTACTTACCCAAATTTTCCATATAAATGAGACTCTCACAAGGTTGCTCTTGAGAGGAAAAGCTTGGTTTGCCCTTACTACTATCTGCTGGATCCTGCGTTAGGAAAATGCTGAAAACATCCTCATTGATTTACATGAAATAAAAATAACCGAACAGTTAAATCTTGTAGCTAGCCACATTAACCTAAAGACACTCAACACAGGAAAAAAGAAAGAAAAGCAAGAGGAAAAATATCACAGAAAAGCAAACGTTTCATTTATCACTTTGAAATTTTCAATTCTTTAATTTGAACTAAATCTACAGACAGGTCTTAAGCACCAGATAACAACACATTTCTGACTGCTCAAAATATTAAAGGGAGCGAATAACCAAATAGTCAATGTACAAGACAATTTATTTGCCTAAATGCACTTTATGCATTTTCCTGATGGCCTGGATAATAACAGTCATAAAATTGCAACTAAATTGATAATTGCATTTTCCTGATGCCATGGTATTTAAATCTGGAAGAGTACTTAAGAAGCACATATTATTTGAACAGCCATTCTGCTGAGAAGTCCTGTCAGTGACATACAGTCTCTGGAAACACCTTAACTAACGACCAGTTTTCACAGGGTCCAAGTAGTCTACAGTAGAGGAGTAATTAAAAAGCTTAATTCAATGATTTTTGCTTTCTGTTTTTATCTGCGATAATCTTGTGAAGTTACGAGTTCTATTTATTACACTAAATTATATAGCAAAACAGAAGAAAGGCTTGGACTAAAGGCTGGTAGAAACTAATTGCATCTACTATTTTTGTACATTTTTGTGGTGATTAGTTCACTTGCTTTCCTGTTTTGGGACGCAAATAGATAACCAGCCACCGTGGTACAAGCTGGGAGCTTTAAAAAGAAGTCTACTACACTGTCTCCTGATTTTCACTTGGGGAAAAACATCATCATTAGCTTAAGAGAGTGTGTGAACAAGAAACATACAGCCAGGTGTTCACATATTTTGAAAACTAAGGCATTACAATAGGTATTCAGCTTAAAACCCCTACTCACCTCCTCCGAAAAGTTATGTCTGTGCAGCCTACTCATGCGAACTCTTTGGCTTACGGAATTATGTGTGAAGACGACAAATAGAAAGAAATAATGAAGAGTTTACCACAATATAAAGTTCTTTTTCTTCAGCTTCAGTGCAAATGTAGAGTGCAAGGACCTCTGTGCTTATGGCATGTTGGTTATAGACACTGTCATTTGAAGGCTAGCCCAGAACTGCTCCAGTGCTCAGACTTGGCCCATGCAGATTGGGATTCAGTTACAAGAAGGCCTCAGAAGCAGCTGTGGTGGCCTGGGTGAAGGACGGGTTCCTCCAGGAGCCTGGGTCTGATGGCTGGTTGCTGGGAAGGAGATATTCCAGCTGAGGCTGCATGTTACGAAACCACAGCCATGGTGAGGCAGCAGGCATATCTAGACCATCTGCTTACAGGATTCCAAGGAGGCAGTCGTATAGATAGTAGGCTGATATACCAGGGAGTACACGGTGTTCCTACCCACTCTCAAGGCACTCTAAGAGCAGCATAGACACAACCTGCTATGCTATACAGAGAATGTCTTGGATCCTTCTTAAACCTGTAAATAAAGCAGAAGAAAAACACTTGTATTCTAAAATAAAAACATCTATTTTGAAAGAGTTTTGCAGGGTTTCAGGCATCCTCTCAGATCGTGAATTGAACTAATCAACAAAACTGACTATTCTCAGATGACTGTCCTTGCTATTTTTGTAAAGGTTTTGATTTACATTTCCTGGAAGAAGAACATCTTAAAATTGGCCTTTTTCATAACGGCAGGATTATTTTTTTTTAGTAAGTTTTCATTCCCTCTGTTTCTGTACTCTTACGTTCCTTAGGAAAGGATTTGTGTCTTCCTACCTTCCTGCCCAGGATCCAGTACAATACAGACCATGATGTGTTCTCCCCTATGAATTAACCAGCTATCTTCAGGGAGAGATGAAATGTAAATAGAGAACACAGAAAACATTAAATGATTTCTTCCTTATATCTGACATTTAAGCCAACATTACAAATTTGCTATATATGCAAATATGCTATACTGTACAATTTATTGCCAAGGTGCAGAGAGGAATCTTAACCTGCACACTCAGGAACGAATAATCTCTTTTTTTGGAGAGACTAGTCTGAATCTCCTGACTCACCTATTTGCACATAGGCTACAGTGACAATAGACGGCTCCATCTGGTACTCTCCTTAAAAAGGAGAAAAAAAAAAAAGGAATAAGAGTATCTGATAACCTGATCTTAAAATCAGCTCTCTGTCAGGATTCATTTAAGCAGAATTATTGCTCATGTTAAAATTGTAGTGGAAATTATGGAGGTGAGAAAGCTCAGCCAAAATGAATTTGTGCCTTGTTGTTCAACAGCCTAGGATAGAGAAACATGTAGCCTGTGCCAGGCATGACCTGTCAGCTACTTTTTAATTGATTTTTGGTCTTCTACTGACAGATCTCTGATCAAATCTTTTAGACTTTTTCTGCTTCTCCAGCTTACGAATCTTATCTTTATCTTAACATAAAGTGAAGAACCAGACTCCCTGCTCTCAGCCTGTAGCAACACCCACTCCCTTCCTTCCTGCAGTACCAAGATATAAAAAGAGAATGGCTAAAATTCACACTGAAGTGATGTCACCTTCTGGGCATGTCTTTTACCTTTCCCATGAGTGTAGGAGAAAATCTGTGGTGCTAGTGAAACTCAACAATTTCATGTCATTTGCTGCCCTATGAAACTGCTTTCCTCTCTTCCACTCTTCTGCACACTCGGGACAAGATTTCATATACAGTTCAATCCAAGGCCCTGATCCAGCAAAACCCTAAGGCGAGTACTTGGCTAAAAGCCTGTAATTGTTGTCACTGGAGACAGAGAAATCCAGTAGCTCACTGAGCAGGTGACTAAAAAAGTGAAAATGTGGAAATGCTTACAGTTAGGTAAGCGCCACAATGATTCAGAAGATTGGGGTGTAAAGAAAGAACCTCAAACCACATCTGAACTAAAACATTTTAACATCCAAAAGATATTTACTTAAGCATTCATGCCCTGAAAACAAGAGAAACACACTGACAATCAATTACCTTTCTTATTTCCAGAGAATTTCTTGAAAAATAAACAGCTCATAACTACTTACACGGCAAATTGCTAAAATGAAATATCTCAAGTTTGTTATAGTTCAGTTTTGTAAATTCATTCCAGAATGAATTTACAAACACTTCACTAACATATCCCTTGTTTCAGTTTTGTAAATTCATTCCAGAATGGTTCTCTTCACTAACATATCCCTTGGGACAGCTATTTTGTTTGTAGTTGTGTATCTGCCTGGTCCATTTTCCTTCAGGATTTGCCATCAGTCCTTTGGCAAGAGATCTCAGCAAAGCCTTTTCTAAGCCAAAAGATTATGATTCCGGGTAATTTCGAACAGCTACACTTGACATTCATCACAACGTCTTAATGATGAATGATAAGAAGGGAAGGTTAATCCCAGAATTCAATTTTGTGTTCGGGTGGAATTTTTTCATTGGAAAGCACTGCATTAAACTTTATCCACAGGAGTTTTTCATTTTCACTTCACTCCACTGGGGCACTATTCAACATTTATAACACCCTCAAATATGTTTTCTAATTGCAACCCCTTAACTTCTGTTCCTGTCACTTTGTAATATGTCAAACAATTCTTCCATTTCTTGGTGAGTGCTGGTTATTTCAGTTCCCCTCGTGTACACTGACCCAGCTTCCGTGTCTCCTCCCGCGTTGTCCCAGTCCTTGAGTGACTGATAATTCCCGGTGCCAGACTGGCCTCCACTTGCACTCTCTGTACTCCAATGATTTGGCCCACTGAGCTGTTTTATTTCTCATAAATCAGCCCCCATCGTTTCAGTGATCTGGGCACCTTCCCCAGTTGACTCCCAGTTTATGCTAACGAGACGCCTGGAACAAAAGGCGCTGCCAAGATTCGGTCTCACCACATTTGTTCTACACAGGAAGACTCACTCCTCCTCCTGCTACACGCAACGGCTCCACATCGTAAGCTATAAATTACAGTTTTATCGAAGGGTGAGAAGAGGGTGAATTATTTTGTTTCTACAATACTATATTGCTAATTCTTGCAAACTATTGATATGGAATCCTCCCAAACTTTTATTCTGTTAATCATAGCAATGATATTGTAACTATTTAATAACCAGTTTCATATATATTGCCTGTAATACAGAGAATACACGTTCTGATAATTACTGATTTCATTAATAGTTTTGCTTTTAAGGAAACGGTAAGAATAAGTATATCGAGTTCTTATATTGCAAGATATTATACAGATATTACATTCCCTATTTTTTGAATTGATATAGGAGTACACAATAGATGTATTTTTCCGCCAAAGCTGGAAAGATGAGAGATTAAAATTCAAAGGACCTATGACTGTTCTCCGGTTAAATAATTTAATGGCCAGCAAAATTTGGACACCTGATACCTTTTTCCACAATGGAAAGAAGTCAGTGGCTCATAACATGACGATGCCAAATAAACTACTACGAATTACAGAGGATGGGACATTGTTGTACACAATGAGGTGAGCCCTAGAATAAAATATCCTTCATTTAATTTGACAATTTAACTTGTTATAGAATCATATTTTCCAAAAAGGCTTCTGCCTGTTTCCTGTTTTAGTATAACTTGAATCTGCACCTTATTTCTTATTACAGAATACTCAGGTATTGTTTTCACAATAGGCTGTAGGGTGATGGAGAAATTGTGCAGTTTGCTGTGTTCATTATTTCCCTTCCTACTGTGTCTCCTTGATGTGTCTTAATATTTGATTTTTAAAAAGTGTCTAAAGATCAGCCATCTTAATTGGGAGAGGCTTTCAAGGATCACAGCTTCAAAGTATTAAGAAACCTAAAAGCTAAAACAATAATCCAGACAACTTGAGCAAACATAGGAGTCTTAATTTTTTGGATACTCTAGAAAGCAGAGTCTAAGAACTAGCAGACGAGCACAAAAATCAGTGCACGTTTTTGTATTTGTTGTGTTTGTCAGGAATACAAAGCATGATAATCTGAAAATGGGCATTTCTTACTCCTTTCATTACAAGAAAAACAATAAAGTATTTGAAAAGTTAGGAGAATACGTGATTTCTATGAAGGCATCAATCTTACTGGAAATATATTATTTTCTTCATGGATAACTGAGCTTTAGCTAACAGCAGCAGAGGAGTTAATTAAATTCTTTGAATTAATAATGATACATAGTGCTGGAACATTCTGGATTAAAAGACCCGAAATTTGAAATCACATACAAAATAGCACTTGGTCTCCTCAGAGCTACAGTTCCCCCACTGATGTCTCCCTGGGAATGAAACCAGGTATAATGTGATTCATCTGACTCAACGTCAAAATGGATAGCCTAGTGCACTGGTGAACACTGACCTTTCTTTTAGCAATCCTAAAATGTTTTTAAAAGCACAAGAAGTACAAAAACAAAGAAAGAAATAAAAGTCTCCAGGCTCTGGGGAGTCTGTCAAATATGTTTTTTTTTTTCTTTCTCTCTCTGAAACACCTTTCAAGACTGTCTGGGCCAGGACAGAATCTGCTGTCTGGTAGTTATATAAGTCCAGGTCCATTTTTCCTGTTTTCCTAAACGCCTGGTCAGTAGGGAGCACTATCTTGGCAGCATATTGCTCAAATATTTTTTTTTCCCCCCTCCATAACCATGTCTTTTACCCCACCTCTGCAAGTGGTAGGGTAATGCAATTTTTTGTCCGTTACTCAAGGATGATTGTCCGTTCCTTGCTGATGTAAAATATGTGACTGCTTCAGGAACTGTTTCTAATACATTTAACCTCTTTTATTGAGGAACCTGTTTGCATCCAAACTGAAGTCAGCAAAATGATTTCAGCAAATGACTGTACATCCATAGTGGATCAGTTTAATCATGGCAGCAAGAAAATTATTCCAGTTTCTAAGAGGTTTGATCTGCACACCAAGTTAGCTGCAAGCACGTCTGCGCAGTGACACGTGGCGCTGGGGCAGTGCCAGTGCCACCGCTGTGTCCATGCACGCCCATCACCCCTGGGCAACAAGACAACCCAAGTGGGCCGCGACCTAGCCATGTAACAGATGTCATGCTATACTTATTTTATGTGTCTTACTAGAAGTCTATTTGCTATTTCTATGAAACTAGAATAAATGTATCCTTTTGCTCATTAATCCATTATAGATTGACTGTGAGAGCAGAATGTCCAATGCATTTAGAAGACTTTCCTATGGATGCACATGCTTGCCCCTTGAAATTTGGAAGCTGTAAGTTTATTTTTAAATTGAGGTTTCTCCCTTTTAAGGCCAGTTTACAGAAGTATTTTGCAACTGAGCAAACCTCAAGGTTTTAAACTTGTGTATTTTTTCACTCATCTTGCAGGGTTGTATTTTTTTTTTCTTACATAGATATTTAATGTAATGTATCTGTTCTATGTATCTTGAATATCTTCCATTATCATGCCTAGACATTTGTAAAGGAGAAAATTACTAAGTAAGTTATATTTTGATACACAGAAAATATTAACCTCAGAGTGGCTTTAGTTTGTTAAGTGCCAAAATTCCTATTACAGAACAAGTAATATAGACAAAGGATAACTGAATTGATTTAGCTGAAAATAATTACCTTCTCATAGTTTGTGCAGGCTTTGAACAAATTTTTGTATAATACTATATATATATATATATAAAGCAAATATTTTAAGTTCTAAATCAAATGAAGATGTCAACATGACACAGAAAATGGTAATCGTATGCCATTTCTGGAAGTGAAAAGTCTCATATGAGAGTCCTATAATTGCAAGATTTTTGACCTAATTTAAAGAACACACTGGACTAAAACTATCACATGTAAGAAGTGTCTCTACTTTCAGTAACTCCAAAATTTCCCCTAAAACTTTAATTTGAACATACAATCAACATGACATTGATCCTCAGAAACTTAACTAAATATATTTAGAGTTGTTCAAGAAATAAGTGGAAAAAAAAAAAAGAAAACAAACCCCTTCGACCCTTTAGACAAAACAAAAATAATAGGAACTGTTTTACTTTGGTTGCATTAGCACAAACAAGAAAGACAAAATGAGTGGAAAATGTAATAGTGTACAAATTGTTTCCTCAATGGCTATTTTTTCCAGTAGAAATTGGCCATTTCACTGATAATGGGTACTTAGTGGCTTGATCTATTTTTGAAGTCAACAAACAAAACACCCAATTCATTCTTTACAGGGTAGCAGACAGGATGATAATTTACTTTGGGCTGAATAGCTATCTCTATGTTTACTATGAAAAAGGGCTGATACGTTGTCTTTAAAGAACTACTAGTCTCCTAGATAAGATTTAGAGAACAAAAAGCTCATGCGAACGTGGAGGATAACTGACAGGAGTAGTTTACTACCTGGATGTTAAATTTTCTGACAGCACTTGCAATAAATCCTTCCAAATCTCCGTAAAACAGGAGGGAAAAAATGCAGCCTTCCTTCAGAAGAAAGGGCAAATAGCGGCAGTGGTTCCTACCTCTGTAAGAGCAAATCTGTGTTCCTGGGCCCTCTTAGGAAAACCAGTAAGACCAGGAGGGTCACAGGACTGAATTTCTTTTGAATTGCACAACGCCAAGCATCTGCCAGCTGCTATCAAGATCTAGGGGTGCTAATGCAAAGTTCAACCAGCAACAGTTCTTCAACAAACACAAAACTGGCAACTTGAATTTATGTAGATGTGCTAAGAAAACGATTACCATATTCACGTATCACTGAGGCACAGCCTCAAACACCAGAGAGACTCTCAGATATGAACAACAGCTTCTTTTTCTCCCTACACTCAGTTCTTTCTGTCCCACTGCGTTCCAGATTAGAATAGTCTTGGCTCAAAAAGTGCTGCGTTTTCCAGATTACTAAGGATGATGCCTCAACTAAACAAGAGATGCAGAAATTATGGATGAATGAGAATAGGTAATATAGATGTGAGTACAACTCTATGACTATAACAAAGGGTAAAAACAAGACACCAAAGGATATGCAGATGTATGGTTGTATCTTACGTCGGCTTCCTTTTTATCGTGCTAAACATCTTTTACTATAATAAAATAATAAGCACTTCACAGCCCAGCACAGGGCCTTAAGCCTTGACCTCTCCCTTCCTCCTCCTTCTCAAATTACACACCACAATTGTGAGATTATAAGCATTTCTGTCCCAGTTACTATGTAATTATTGATATAAATATCTCCCACTGGACAAATAGAAGAATTCAGACAGGCTATGAAAATGGGACTCAGTTGTACATACAAAGTGAGTAGGTCCCATGTTTAATTATTACTTTTTATCAGGAAGAATTGTATTTCATTATTTTGGAGACATTCTATCAAATAGCTTAAGCAATTTATAAAATGGACTGAAAAAATATCTGAGAGAGACTTCTGGTCACCACAAAAACCACACTTCAAGCACAGAATGCAAAATTACAGTTAGTAACTCAGCAAGGCAGCGTCTGCCCAGCAGTGTTTGTTTTGAAGTAAACTGGAGAAGGGTTTTTCCATGTCCTCCAGTCACTCCTCCTGTCCTGGAGACCGATCCAGAAGGGCCTTGTGTGGATGGGGTGGCACACGTCTCCCGTGGCCTCTACCCATGCTGGAGAGACCAATAAATGCTTGACCTAGCTCCAAGGCTAGAGTCACTTGCCAAAAAAGCAGCTTAAGCTGGAGGTTATTCCAAAGTAAATTCAATGTGACAAATGCTAAAAAGGCTTCTGGAACAACAAAAAACCATATGTTGGCAAAGCAAAATCAGAAAGGCAGCTGCTCTCCTCAGCTCTTCCCACAAGAACCTGACTGTCAGCTCGGTTCACAACTACCCCTTAAACCAAGGCTGCAGCAGGAGAGGAGCGGGAGGATGTTTTTTGTGTTGCTGCTTATGGAACACGTGAGTCAGACGCCCAAGTCGGAGGGCGGATGGAGGCTCTGCAGGGCCAAGGGCACCCAACCTGGTGGCCCTGGAGGTGCAGGGCTGGGCAAGCTCACTGGCTCTCAGCAGGCCAGGCCCTTACCTTCAAACTACTCTCCAGTTTCAGTGTAGATAAAAATAGTGGAAACAGGCAAATCCTTAGTCTTATAGAGGCCATTGTTTTTAAGGTCACGGTTATTGAGACATAGATCTGCATTTCCCATTGCTTCCAGGAAAGCAGGAAT